GAAAAAAATCAATGTAAAAATCATAAAATTAGAGAAAATTTTAGGTTTTTTTTTTTCATATTTTAGCAATTTTCTGAAATGCTACACTTTCTTTTTCGCTGTTGCGCTTATTAAACGTTATTCTCTTGTTCTGTTTTGATAAAAAATGTATAATAAACACATAATTTTTTACTATTACAGGGAATACTGGGGCCAAACGCGTAGAAACGGGTGCCCCAGATAAACGGGACACCGATATTTCCAGAACACCTGCGACATATGACAGTTAACATCACTGCAGATGTTTGTGATGGAGTTGGAGCTATAACTAAAACACGATCCTCCACGGCAAAATAAACAAACAATCCGGAGTCAACAAGTTGCCCAACTAGTTATCCAAAAGATAGCTAACTAACGTGCTCAGCTAAAATTGGTTTTATTATAATTTTCTGACTCAAAACGACTCAACCGCTGCTGGATTTTTTTTATGGGTCCCCCTCCTCCCACGCCCACGCAGCGTTTATTCACGAAGTTAAAAACAACATTTTCACAAGACCTCGATAAAACTAAATAAATTCAGTTAACTTCACCAGACACACGCATCATACCTGTTCGTACGGTGACCGCGTTGATGCTAATTTTGAAGTTCTTCTTCGAATGCGCTTTAAAAATGTTCGTTTGCCTGAGCCCACACCCAGTGACTCTTAAAGGCGACGCACCCAAATACGGAAACGAAAAACTTAACAAAACATCATAGAGGCATAAAACTCGTCATCGTTGTAAAAGTGTATTTTTGTACGATTCATTCTGTAAACATGAAGCTAAATTAATTTAGTACGTAAATAATTGCATCGTTGGAGATTAGCGGAACTGTCTTTAACGGTGTTTGTTTCTAGACGAACTAAAATAACAGCCCCCCTCGTTCATTCAGAAAACACCGTTAATAATGGTCTCCTTTATTCATCTGATTTCACGTTTTTAACCTGTAAAAATTTGAAGATATGGCCACAAAACGCAAAGTAGACGTGATTGTCCCTGCTGAGGAAAGTGACCAGCTCCTAATTCGACCTCTGTGAGTTATTAACGTTTTATTTTATATCTAAATTAGATTAGGATATAAACAGGCTGCTTCTTTAAGCATCACAAGCACGAATCATTGTTTTTTATATTAAATTGTTTTTTTTTCTCATGTTGCAGTGGTGCTGGTCAGGAGGTTGGGAGGTCATGCATCATCTTGGAATTCAAAGGAAGAAAGATTATGGTAAATATAAGCTTATCACATTATTATTAATAATATTTATGTTTTGGACTCAAAAATGTGTGCATTGTAAATAATAGTAATAACAATAATAGGAAGAAAAAGCAGTTTACGTCAATGTAAACATAAAATAAAAATAATAAATACAGCTATTATATATTAAATTAAATGTGAACCAAATTTTAAAAAGAAATTTAAATTATGGAATATGTGAACATGTACAAAACATATGGACCATATTACAATAAGTATGAATTAAATTTTTTAAAAAGTAATTCATGTTTTATATTTTCATTTCAGACTGATGTTTAAGGTTTTTTTTTTTTTGTTTGTTTGTTTTTTTTTGCGGATAAAAATTAAATATAGCATTTTCAATATATAAGCTTAACATTACCTCTACGGAACACGTATTAAGTTAGAAAACCTTCCAAGGGTTAAAATAAATGCAAGTTTATTCTTACTCAGATCAGCAGGAAGGGAAACTTTAATCTGCTTTAATTCTAAAATCTACCGATTAAAAAAAGATTCTTTGCTAATAAAGGTTTTATGAGCATCTCTTAAAGGTAAGATGTTATTTTTCTATGCTGGGTGAAATAAATGAAGGTATAATTGTGTTTGACAGCTGGACTGTGGCATCCATCCAGGTTTAGAGGGAATGGACGCCCTCCCTTACATAGATTTGATCGATCCAGCTGAGATAGACCTGCTGCTCATCAGCCAGTGAGTCTCTGTCATCCCCTAAATTCTTTGTGTGTGGTTTTCATAATCCAAGATAATTAATCTGTTAATTCACATGCCTCTTTGCCAGTTTCCATTTGGATCACTGCGGAGCTCTGCCCTGGTTCCTCCAAAAAACCAGCTTCAAAGGCCGAACCTTCATGACTCACGCCACCAAGGCCATTTACCGCTGGTTACTYTCCGACTACGTCAAGGTCAGGTAAGAGCAGAGGAGCTTATCTTATTAAAATYCGTATTTTTGGATCGATTACTAAGTGGTGACGTTGTTTTACTTGCAGCAACATTTCTGCAGACGACATGCTGTACACTGAGACGGACCTGGAGGAGAGCATGGACAAGATCGAGACCATCAACTTCCACGAGGTTAAGGAGGTSGCTGGGGTCAAATTCTGGTGCTACCATGCTGGTCACGTGCTCGGGGCGGCCATGTTCATGATCGAAATAGCTGGYGTCAAAGTAAACAATTATAAATCTGTAGTTTGTTTTTTTTGGCATGAAGCGTTTGTTTTGGAGCAAGATGAACTTACAAGTTTTCCCTCCTCAAGCTGCTGTACACGGGAGACTTCTCCAGACAAGAGGACAGACATCTAATGGCAGCTGAGATCCCAAGTGTCAAACCTGACATCRTAATCATAGTACGGCCAGAAATGGTGTTCAGCGCTTGTTTCGTGTTAAATATTTAAATAGTTACATGACAGATGTGTTCACAGGAGTCAACGTACGGCACTCACATCCATGAAAAGAGGGAGGAGCGCGAGGCTCGCTTCTGCAACACGGTTCATGACATCGTCAACAGGGAGGGTCGCTGTTTGATTCCTGTGTTCGCACTGGGACGAGCGCAGGAATTGTTGCTCATCTTAGGTAAGAAATCACCTCGGACTCCTCTGTTTGACTAACACCGTGCCTGTTATTTTTAAAATTATTTGATTTACTTMTCTATTTCATCCATTAATCATAAAAAAAAAGTATTCATGCAAAATAATGACAAAACAAATGGCATCAGCCCTGAACAGAAAGGGTACAGAAAGAAGACAAAAATCTTAAATCTGCCCCTAATTTTTAAAAGAACTGCAAACAAACTCAAACTTGAACAATCTCCAAATTTAAAATGAAAGCAGAAACAACATCAGGTATCCTTTATATGCTGTATTATTTCCACTAAATACTACATGGATTCATACTTTCCCAATAAATTTGACTTAATCTCCTTTCCCAGAAATATAGATTTGTTGGAAGTTTGTYTCTCTGTATCAAGACATTTCCACAAACCTATTCCCTGCAAACTAGTAGTTCCAAATGAAGGTTTTACAAAGTCTCCATTCCCTTAAGTTTATAGTGACTCTCTCTTTAAACATATTTTAATTGGATATTTAAAGGTAATATTTTTCTGAAATTTTAAGATCCTATAATCAACCCAAAAATCAAAACATTTCAATAATTTCAACTGATGACATAATAGATTTGTTGGGTGACTGCAGTAGGGC